CAGACTCTGGCTCCAAACGAATCTCTACTGCGCAGACTCTGGCTCCAAACGAATCTCTACTGCTCAGACTTTGGCTCCACACGAATCTCTTCTGCGCTGCACAGACTCTGGCTCCAAACGAATCTCTACTGCGCAGACTCTGGCTCTAAACGAATCTCTACTGCGCTGCACAGACTCTGGCTCCAAACAAATCTGTACTGCACAGACTCTGGCTCCAAATGACATCATTTACTCAAGATGGCAGCGGCCATACTGAGATGCTTTGGCTTCACTTTTCTATAGTGAAAGGAATAGGAGACGCGTCGTCCATCTTTTTTTGCAGTCTATGGTTAAATCCCATTGATTAAAAACCTGCTGCTTCATTCTACTGGTCATCTTCGGTGCGCGCAGCTCAAAACAGAAATGCAGAACATTAATGACTAATGTCATATACATAACGTTATAATGAGAGCACTAAATGTGAATTCTTAGGGTTTCGCTGACATTTAATGTTAACTATCTTTTAATCAAAACATAAAACATAATCTACCCCGTTTGTATCTGCGAGGCGTCCTTTACACATTTTCCCTGTGTGTTAACGTAATTATGACTGTCGAATGTCTGACTTGACTCTTGGTAATGTATTTTGCCCCGCCCCCAAAACATATGATTCGACTTTCAGTCGAATATCGGCAAGATTAGAAAATTCCGATTCGACTATGGAAATCCTTAGTCGGGGACACCCCTATTATTAGCACATGACATATTTAGCTGAGTTTAGCTTTAATCAGTGTCAACATGAAAACAATATTTTTCTGTGGGCTTAAATTCATGAGATGCATTAATTTATTACAGGAACTGCTCATATTTATGACTCTTTTGATGCCACAATTAATAAAGACATAAGCACAGGTAACTAATGATGTTACAGAAGGTAATTATGTCATGTTGATCATTTACTACGTTTTACATTTCACTGGGATATTTGCAGAGCAAATTCAGTTAAAACAAATGTCTTATTCTTTTCTCTGTTATTCATTGTAGACATTGTAAGTGGACCTACTGAAGTCACCTATGCTGAGATTGAACTCAAATCTACAGAGAAACAGAAGAAAAAGAAAGAAAACAAAGGTAAACTGAAATGAAGGTTTATGTTCTTATGGTTTTATGATCATGACAGTAAGGTGAGTCTCAAAGTAAAAACATCAATCACAAGGAGCCACTGACAACTGCATACAAGCATCGTTGAGAATCTAAGAATAAATGTGCAAATGTGCATTTTAGCATTTTTAATTGATTTACACATTTTCAGCTGCTGGATCTAGTGATGTGACGTATGCTCAGGTTAAATAAATGGCTGGAGGAGAAACTTTCAATCCCAGGACGCTGATGAGTTTAGGCTGAGAAGGGCTGGAGAATGACCAGGATCATCAATTCTTTATCATGCTGAACACTTGATGGCAATAGAGTTATCAGCCTTCATGTGGTTCAGTGACTATACATGCTAATCTTTGAAAAGCAATGAGATTTATACATTATACATTGGAAAAAAACAGATGATCTTTTAGTACTGCACAGTGTTTATTTTTATTGGTTGATACCAGCAGAGGCAGCAGCTCATTATTTGACTGTTGATTGAGACCAGGTTTCCTTTTTTGTGTGTCTTCTTGATTTTAAATGTATTTGCAACATGGTCATGAACAACCTAGAAATACCAGGCAATTTAATATGGTGACTTCCAGGTCTGGAAGAGTTGTATATGATCATCAAATGTATATGATGAGTACATTTTTCTGTATGCTCAACTGTAAAATGATTTTAAAAAATCCTTATTCTGCAATCACAAACAATTGAAAAATTGAAATTGAAATAATTGAAAAATTCATTAAGTCAAACAGTTAGGGAATTCTGTTGTAGCTTGCTTGTTTGTCTTAGACTATTTATGTTTTCAGAATACAATTACAATAGTCATTTTACTGTAATTTTAATTATTCTTATATTTATAAAATATTTCATTGCTATAAATACCTCTATGTGAGTCTAATCTTTAGATTTTAAAACTGCTTAAAAAGTTTTCCACTTCTGTTGCAGCTTGCTTGTTCTTCTTAGTTGGAAATGAGAATAATTGTTCACAATTATAATTATAAACTGTAGTTTTGCTGTAATATGTATACTTTTTGTTTATATCTTTATTACAATAAAATAAGATTGCTACAATGCTAGTAGCATGAGCGTTTATAAAATATTTCATTGCTATAAATACCTCTATGTGAGTCTAATCTTTAGATTTTAAAACTGCTTAAAAAGTTTTTTACTTCTGTTGCAGCTTGCTTGTTCTTCTTAGTTGGAAATGAGAATAATTGTTCACAAATATAATTATAAACTGTAGTTTTGCTGTAATATGTATACTTTTAGTTTATATCTTTATTACAATAAAATAAGATTGCTACAATGCTAGTATGTAGCATGAGCGTGAGCGACTTGGTCATCATAAATGTGACGCAACATAACATTCATGTTTATGGTTGAGCAAATATGTATAAATATCTCTGAACAGATTGAACAGAACTGAATTTACATCTAAACACATGTCTTCAATGCCTCCAAAACTTTTTTATTGTTTCTAAGAGAATTAACTTGTCAATATCCTTATGCAGTTTTTTTGTTTTGAAAACTAGGAGTAGGTCTAGGTTGAAATTGGTGCCAAATTGTGTTTTTGACATTGCGGATTTATTAACTACTTCCGCATTTCCTGAAATCCCTCGCCCATATTGTTCAAACATGAACAAGTAAGCGTCTGACACACACTGTGTATCTGTGTAACCAGAAAAGGAAGCCTTTTATCCAGCCTATTATCCATCTGATCATTTAGATCCGATCAAATCCACAGATTCTGCATCTTGGCTCTGTCTGTGAGCTGTGAGGGAGGTGTTTCAGTGCACAGATGACATGCCTTTTGAGTAAATGTTTTATATTAAACTAAACAAGACAATCTTCTGATTCAGATGATACAAGGTACACTCTGAAAAAAAGGTACAAAAGCTGTCACTGGGGTGGTCACTTTTCAAAGGGTGCATTTTTGTACCTTTTAGATACACTTTAGGTACTAATATGTACCTTTAAGGTATCGACATGGAAGCTTTAAGAACAAAGGTGTACCATCTGAAGAGGTACCGCCTGGTGACAGGATTTGTACCTTTTTTTCTGAGAGTATGTCATTCACCTTATGAAATAATTTAAATTTAGATTTTTCTACTTCAGAATTATAATTTTTTTTGTAGGATGATGCTCACGTATGTCTGTATTACAGCTCACCCTGTGATTACAACACACTCCAGTTTTCTACATATGAAGAATAATAATGTAAATAATGCTTTCAGTTTACACAAACTCAGTGCCTTTATGTATTCAAAAAGCACATGCTTACAGTAAAATACAGACCTAGACTGACACATTTCAAGTTTCAAGATTTAAAACCATTTCAGCACATCAAATGAGACACTATGTCTGTCTTTTATCGTAGACTATTTACTTACAATCAGCAAACAGCTTTTGAGTGGGGCATTTGAGAATTTTGAGCACCATGCTTCTCTGTCCTCATATCAGATGTTGTTTTCCATAAAATGTACTATAAAGAAATATTTCTGACGTGACATAAAATTTGCATCTTATTTCTATGGTCTAATGGTCTAACCAAAATATTCAGGCTCCTCCTCCTATGTCAGAATTATTTTAAATACACACACTTCCGTCAGCTGATTCATCTGACCATTTAACTAGGCAGTGAGAGAAAGAGAGAGTTGTCACTAATTCAGGTAATTTCTTGTTACTAGAGATTTTATGTCCTTTTGGTAGCAGTAAAATTAAAAAGAAATCTGTGCCGGAGCAGTGGAGAAACAACACAAATTCAGGATGTTTGGGATCTTATTTTGAGGAAGGTGTCGATGGATTCATCTAGTACAGGAATTCTCAAGGAAGACGTGAAAGGCAAAATCAATTTCATGAATATTTCATGTATAAGAAGGTTTACCAAAATACTGTTTAACATCTCATTTGCATAAACATATAGCCACTATGTTAAAGGCAGGGTATGTGATTTTTCAAAAACACTTTAGAAAACTGATTCGGGCCGAATAGCAAAACAAATTTGTAGCCAATCAGCAATAAGGGGCGTGTCTACTCGTGATGTGGAGGAGAGAGCTTTCAGTGCATGGGACGGACATTAGCCGAGCCGAGCGACAGAAAGATAGAGATGGCGGATAAAAAACAAAAGAAGAAAACGTCTGCGGAACGATAAGGCAAGAAGTAGGACCCGTGTAAATATCGGATCAGCTTTCCAGCGCTGGAGAGAACTCAAGGAGCGGAGGCCTGCGATCGGACGCCGAGGTTGCTATGTTTCTTCTCAATAGGTGAGTAACACCGTGTCTACAACAACTAAAGTCTGCCTACACTGGACGCGATCAAACAACATTGTCAGCACGTCATAAATAGAACCCGGCAGCAGTTTTCTGTCGGGGATTTGTTGCGCCGCGCCGCTCACGTCCGATGTAGACACGGTGTAACATTGGTTTTGCTTTGTTTCACAGAACTAATCGTTGCCTGGGTTGCGTACGTATATGTGGGGCGGAGCTATCAAAATAGGGGCAAGACCCTTTTGGGGTAGGGCCGTGTTTGTTTTGGTGATTTCAAATATAAACATTGGCTACCAGAAATCACTTACACTGCCTTTAATTTCATTGGCGAATAATTTCAAATCAAGCAAATCAAAATTTGCTGTCAAAATTAACACTGGTTAACATGCAGTAATTTGTTCTGTGTGTGAAAGGTGTGTGTGCAGCTGCTGGAGTGCAAGTGATAGATTCTCCACTGCTGACTCAGCAGATTGAAGCTCAGCGACTCAGTTTAAAGCACCTAAAGAACGAGAACAACAGACTAAAGGTCTCTCCTACTGCTTCACAAGCACATTTCCCCAATGCAGGCGCTGAGGATTTTTTCTCACTTTTGTTTTTGTGTGTCTGTGTGGGCCGCAGGCAGAAAAGATGCGTGCTCAGCTGGCATCTCTTCCTCCTCTGAACGTGCCAAAGCTGGGCTGGCGAGAGGGCTGCAGGCCTGAGGTGCTGTCTAGCGCCCTCTACCGCAAAACAGACCAACTGCTGGATACTCTCCTCCAGATGAGTGCCAATGTGAAAGTGGTGGACATCACTGGGAAATCTCCAGGTCTGTCATAATTAGACTTAAAAATGCAGATTTCTGTTGTTTATACAGTAATTACTTTACAGTGTTTGTGTTTTCATTAACAGTGAGTCCCAGTGCACAGCTCCTCGAGCAAACAGCAAGACTGCAGTCGCTCAGTGACACTCTCGATAGGCTTAAGGTAAACCAAAAATGCTTTAAAATCAAACAGTCATCATTAAAATGTCTCCTGCACTTATTTAAGCAACTTCTTTCTTTGAAGGATGAAGTTGCTGAGCATGTAGTGACTCATAGGCCTGGTGCTCAAGTCTCGTCTGATTTCGCCACTTTTCCCTGCACTTCCTTTGTTAAGGTCAGACAAATACACAACATTTTCCCACATTGTCTGGGTCTGTATAAACCCCTCATTCTTCTTCCTCTGCTCTCAGGCAAAGGAGGAGAAGAAAGGAGATGCTGTGCTGGTTGGTCGTGTGATGATGCCTTGCGCGCGAGGACAGGAACAGGTGCATCGTCTTTTGCTTTCAAAGACACAGTTACAAAGAGTTCATTGCCTTCTCCAGACTTAAAATAACCCCCAAAAAACCAAACTTGCTCACATTCAGTCTTCAAAACATACATTGAAACAGCAGATATAATGGAGAATGGATCTAGGGCCACAAACCAAGAACAATAAACACAATAAATGCTTCATTTTGACAAGCCCACACAAGTCAAGCATTTGGAATGCTTTGAATGTGATGATATCTACCACAGCAAAATCTGTAAAATGATACAAAAAGGCTACAGATTTGAAACGTGAGACATGCTGAGGACGTTTTAACAATTAGACTTTATTAACATGGCATGAAATAGATGATTCGGCATGATCCCTACTGCTTTATATCTGCATCCATTTAATACCTTTCATTCTCTTCCCGATTTGGATTCCCATTGATCTATGTTTACAAGTATTTACCTAAAAGGATTACAGTTCAAATAGTGTATGTTTAATTAGTGGTGCTTCCTAAGTGATTAGACTTAAAATTTTCAACTGATGGACAATAAAACAAGAAAAATTACCAATAAAATGGAAGTAGAGATCCGAACCATATGATTGGACCAGGAAACAACCACCCGAACACTCTGGCAACCACCTAGCAATTACATCGCAACATACTAAA